GAATGTTTGGAGTGCCCGGTACAGACTGCACCCCTGTCTGAATCTCCCATCACACCTCCTCAAAGCGCACATATCCTGACAAACCCACAGCTGCTGGAAGTACAGGCACAAAGAAAGTGAAACTACAACCAACGGCGAACAGGTACGAGAAAGGCATGAGAGATACTAAATGACAACTCCATCTATTGAGTAACTTGTGAGAATGTCTTATCACTCTTTATAGTAGCTCATCATAGGGATGGGCGACATAGCTAAAAAACGTATCAACGATATAATGTTTCATATCGTTCGGTATCGATAATTATTGACATTTTTTATAACCTTTTTCAAAACAAATGTCAAAAAAAAAAATGTTTAAATTTAACCACTGTATTTATAATTAACACAATTTATTGAGAGAAAAAACAAACATTTTTTGTTTTAACAATCAAACACAATAAAAATTAAACAAATATCTAATTTCTAATGTTTTATATGCAGATTAAATAGGTCTTTATTGTATAAGTCTAATTGTCTCCCAAGGCCACAGGAGGGCGCAATGAGCAAAATAATTCAGCGCATTTAGCAAGTAACTCTATAAAAACGTGCATTACGTCTAAATTAACTCATAAAAATAAAATATAATTTCGTAAATTGCATAAACAATGCAAAAAAACAGCATCACGTAGTTTTGATTGCTTTTATTGTCCTCATTTGTAAGTCGCTTTGGATAAAAGCGTCTGCTAAATGACAAAATTTAAATATAGGCTAATGTAAATGTAAATAACAAAACTAAATAGAAATCTTAAAACAAGCCCCAAATCAAATAAATAACACATAAAATAAATCTCTTCATATAAACAAAAAAAGGCTTTGTCTGTGCTCTTTCCATTTAAAATGAGGCAACCACTGCATTTTAATCATGATCCAAACAAAGATGCTGCATACATGCAACATGAGCACTTATGAACTTTAATATGCATTATACAGTGGCAAGATGAATATAAAAAAAGTACCATCTAAACTTTTCTAAAGACAGTAAGTTCCCCTTAGACATGCATTCATATAAACTCGTACCCCTAATTGAATCGCGATTTGTTTAGCATCTCAACCGATTTGAATAGTCACATATTTGAATCGATTTTCAACCGGCTCGTGGTTAATCACTACATCCCTACTTTCTATACATCTCTTCTGTGAGACGCGAGCGCAACAGTCATATTTGTCGGTCTAAAAAATTCGCTGAATATGCGTTCTGTGTGAATGGCTTGGTTTCGGTTTTAACTCATTCAAGATCTTCTCTGCATTGAGCTTCTATATTTCTCTAATATTTTAAAAGAATAACGCAGCAGCGGCACGTCTCGTGGGTTGGCATAGAGGAGAAACAATAATGTACAGTATGTGGAAAATAATGTGTTTTTTTTACTTTAAACCGCATAAACACATTTCATTACACCAAATACACAAAATAATGTTCTTTTTAGCAGCATCATATGACCCCTTTAAAATGCAACGTCACTTACATCACCGCATCTCGCGCGCCCTGATACACACCTAACATTCAGATGCAAATGTTTATTTTAAATTCAACTAATATTCATTCTTTATTCACGATCTCCTCATCACAGGCAGGCACAGCACTCATTTCAGCATGTGTTCGTGTGTGCTGTCTGCGTCACTCGTAGCACGTGCCTATATCGTGCGCTATATCAAACATTATATATCGATACCATTTTATTGCCCAGGCCTAGTTCATCAACACAAAGATAAAGGCAGCATTCCAATATTTCATGTTGCACACACAATCACAGACAAACTAAAAGTGACATCTGCTAAAAGTTAGTCTCAACTATTAGTCAGGAAAGAGCACAATTAATCCTATAAAATCCTACTTTATCATACTTGTTAGGCCTATGAATTATCGAAACGATCAAAACTTGCTGAAAAACCTATTGTACACAATTCTACTGCATGCCTTCTATCGTCTAATAGTTGATCACTTTTAGCATGCAAAAGGCCTTTTAAGATAATTATGGCACCTTTTAGAATCTTTTTCCCCATCTTTTTGCTGTGAAATCTTTAATGCTATTTATAAAGTACACAAAAACTTTTATATTGTTAGTTATATCTCAAGATGAACACTTACTCGACTGAAGCGTCTCTGGTTTACTTGATTATCCATACATCATTTTGCAGAAAAATCATGTTAAAATGTGAGTATCAAATATGATACATCAGGCTTTTGAGGAATTTCATCTCTCAATCATCATTGTACTGCATTGCATTATATTATACGTTTTGCCCACACAATAAAAACTTCAGAGCTTTGATAATAAAACTAAACATTTCTACATTACCTTAATAGGACTAATTATTGGGAGATATAGTGACAACTGTACATGCATTTTATGCAAGTTGCCTGCTATACAGTTATGAAGATCTCATTGATTTACATTACAAGCTTTTGGAATTTCATGTTTTTTTGCCCATATGAGTTTCAGCAACTGTACCAAATTGCATGTTTTCTCATTTTTGTTCTCTGAATAAAACTGATTTGTTTTCCCCCTCCTTGAGTATGAACTTCATATTCTCACTATGCCATATTAGCCATACATTCCTGATGCATAACATGATACAAAACATAAAACACATGCAAAATGTTTTTAAACTGTCATGCTTTAGTTAAGGTCAAACAAGCTGACCTATGCTGAATATATTGATAAATGATTAAAGAATTGCTTTACACCACTTAGAAGAGACAGCTACTCTCTGTTGGATGATATAAACTATGACTCTCATCATGCCATACATACACTGAATCAACCAGAATCGATACTACAGGTGCAATCATACTGCCCCCTCAGAACTATCGATACTAAACACGACTAATATACATAGAGAAGAAACGTCCACATTACACAGATAAAGGTAATGTGACCTTTATCGTGAGATTTTATGTAAAATAAACAAAAAAAATAGATTAGTTACTGTATGGACAGTATCAGCATCACAACGTCTCATCAGTCCCGTTAAAAATTTTCCTCCCACATTTTGAGGAATTAACAAGCTCGAACAGAACAGCGAGTCTAATTCATTTGAGTCATTTGTGTTAACGTACTTATTTGGTGTGTTATGTCACTGGCTGTAACGCACGAACACTTTAGCCAAACTTTTAGGTAGTTTTAGGCGCATTCTAACACTGATATAATGAATAATTTCAACCTTTCATGATAGCAATTCAGGAGCACTTATCCTTGGTCCGAGTCTGAGTGAAAAAACGGGATGGAATAACTTAATTGTAATATTTGCAAACTACTGTAAATCATTCTCGTCGAAACCTGAAAACACATGTACACTTAAATGACATTAAAAACAGAGTAACTTTATAGTTAGTATCTTTCATGACTCAAATTAATGTTTTGACACTGAGTAGCCTAAGCTACTCAGCTAGCTGTATGAAGAATTAGCTAAATTAGCACGACGAACAAACTCACCGAAACTAACGTTACAGGTTGACACAAAAACAACCTGCGCGGGCATACAAACAACTCACGTTTGTAATACAAATCGCTTTAAAGACATCCTACCTGTAGTGAGAAGTGTGTCTGCAGAGAAATAAACTTCATAGGGCCGGTGAAGTTTCTTGTGTGTAAAGTTAGCTTAAGCAAGCTAAGTGCGCGTATATCAGTCACAGAAACCCGTACGAGCGCGTTGCTCGTGTTCTCTGCGCCATATTCACGCTCAGCCTTCATCCGGGGAACTGACCGTCGCGCACTGCCCCCAGACTGCATCCTCACAATGTGTGCATCATGAATTATACATATATTATACATCACTGTAACCATGTCACAATAATCATTTTAGTAGTAAATCTTTCAATAACATAAGCATAATAATAACTAACATAATGAACAATTTTACCCAAATTTGTATATGTGTGGGTAATTATTTAAACTTCTTTAAACAAAAAGTCTTTGGTATAATTGTAAGTGGCCACATGTAATAATTATGAAATTAATAACATTTTAAAATATTTAAAATGACAAAAAGTATAGAATGAGTAATACAATAATTAAATATGATATATGAAGTTGAGTTTAAATTATTATTTAGCAATATTAGTACTTAAGTGTGTTGAAAACACCAATTGTGACACCTCAGTAGATGTAAATCCTTATGTTGTCAAGACAGCTTTTCTAAAATTATCCATTATCTGTCAATTTTTATGTTGCAATGTATAACCAATAAAACAATGTTGACATTGAAGAACAAATTATCTACTTTGGATTATTTGCTCAGTGTGCATTACACATGTGTGGTGTGGTGTGTGTGTGTGTGTTAAGCATTTGTGTCAGCAGAAACTTTTATTATACTATATATATACAGTATATATATATATATATATATATACATACAGTATATATATGTTACAATACAATATATTACAATTACAATACAATATATATATATATATATAAATATATACATATAT